AGCAGTTTGCTCCCAGTGTTATTTTTGAATTATTCTTTTATCTTTCCCAAATATATTAAGCTTAACTATCAGTTCCAACAGTTCTTTGTGACATATTTATCAAATGCTTTTGCATAATCTGTAAAATACATCCTTTCGCATCTTTTGCATTTCTCTTTCTGATATAATTCTAAGCATAATTATTGCATTCTTTGTTCCAGTGTCTTTATCAAAACCACACTGTTCTTTCCCCTATTTCCAGTCTAATTCAACTGTGCACTCTATTAATGAGAATTCAGAAGTTTTATTTGGCTCATTAGTCTAATTGTCTGATGCAGTTCAGATTTGTTTTCATCTTGTTTCTTAGGCAGCATTATAAAAATGGATCTATTTAAATATTCCAGTATATCACTACTGTTTTATATTTCTTTTATTATGTCTGTAATCTTGTCAATGCTTGAAATCATATAAGGTTACTAGCATCTCTATTACAGTTCCATCCGGTCCTGCTTCTTTGTCCTTGTTCAATTTGGCTAGTGTTGGATTTCAGCTTTAATATTTCTAGTCTTTCAATATTTCTGTATATTTCAGGTTGTCCTCTTTTGTCATGGATGAGTTATCTGATGTATTCATTCCATCTATGAAGTATTTTATATATATATATATATATATATATATATATTCTGTACCATACCTTGTCATTGGCTTTTGTGTCCTTTTCATGTTGAGAATTTCATCTACCATCTATCCTTTTCTGCCTTGTCTAGTTTTCTTTAGTATGACCTCATTTGCAGATGTTACTAAAGCTTCTCTTAATGTATCCCACTTCAAATTTACATTCTCATTTAGTTCCTTTATCTGCTTTCAATGCTGCCCATATATTTCCCCTTCACATTTGGGTCATTCAGGAGTCTGTATTGCAATTTGGGTGCTGACTTGACCCTTCTCAATTTCCATAGTTTACACTTCAAAACATATCACTGGAAGGTGGTCACTCTCACAGTTGGAACTTGGGCGTTTGCAGTGTAAAACTGCATTTCTGAATTTCTTATTGAGTGTTATGCCAAGTATTTCACTATCTCTCTCCTTCCCTACTTTGACATTTAGGTCTCCCATGACAATTGTAAATTTCCTGCAATTTACATTGAACCTTGGTGCTATCTAGCATTCAGTTTCTTCTTCTTTACATTGGACTACTGGTGCATTTAACTAAATGAATTCTATCAGATAGTTGATAGTTCCTTCATGTCTTGGTCTAATATAAATCTTACTCCTCTTTCATTTTTCCTTCCACCTGCATATATGACCTTGTGCTTGTCACTGACAAAATCTCCATTGTTTGTTCATCTAGTTTTGCATACAGCTAAAATATTAACATTTAACATATTCATTTACTGCTTTACATTTTCTAGCAGGCCACATTGATTTAGTATCCTAACATTCCATGTCCCTAGAACTATTTTTTGCTTTATGCAAAAAATAAACATCATTGTAAAAACCCTTGAACCCAAAAATGTAAGATTGAAGCACATGCCTACTACAGAACACAAACTCCAGATATGCCTGCATATATAGGCATGCATTTTTGTGTGGGTGTGTGTGTGCATGTGTATGTCTGCTAGCGTTTATAATATTATGTCTCGCTTAAGCTACTTGCCGTGACATGATTAGAAACTCTCCTTGACTGACTCCAACCGACTGATAAACTCACAACTGAAATGAGATGTACCACAAGTCTGAGTTTTGCGTGAGGAACCCAAGCGCGTACACTCGGGCCAATGGTCATAATTTACCCAGGCCTAGCAATGGCGGGATCGGGCACTTTGCATTGTCTATTCTTCTCAGCTGAGTCTACACATCCATACACAGAGCCCCTGAGACAGTCGCACTCAGGCTGAAGACAGAGAGCCAGACCATCATGAGAGACAGCAGACTGCCTGACTGTGACGAATTGATGTTTACCCACTCCTGCCACTGAGACGGGATGTGATAAAAGGTTGAGTTTACCCGAGCGTGTCGACCCAGGCAAATGGTCAAAATTTATCCAGACCCCGCAACAGTGAGATGGTTCACTTTGCATTTTTTATTTTTCGCAGCCGAGTCTCTGTCCATAGACAGAGCCATGATTCAGTTACACCCTGCCTGAAGACAGAGTTTGACAATCGCAAGCCAGACTTTGGACTGTATGACTCTGACTGGTTTTTACCCATTCTCCCCACTGAGATGGCAAAATGTATAATGACCCTCAGCTAAAGTTAGATAATAACCAAATACCAGTAGTCAAAAAATATAAATATCTAAGCATAATATTGGAAAAAAATTTTTTTTTTCATCCTACAAGAAGAAAATGCAACAAAGCAATCCAGCCATTCATAGTAGTAGCACATAGATTGTGGGAGCTGATAAAAAAATCATTATTAAGAGTCTACTGATCAATAGTAATATCAAAACTCAATTATGGTTGTTTTATCTACAGGTCAGCAAGAAAATCATACTTGAAAGAACTAGAATCTATACGCTATTAAGGTCTTGGACTAGCACTGGGAGCTTTTAATACCTCTACTGTTGAAAGTCTTTATACTGAAGCAAACAAGACCCAATTATCATTAAGGCAACAGAAACTGGCATTACATCAAACTACTTTCATGCCAATCAGTATACGAGTGTATTTAACCCTAAAGATAGGATTCTCTTAGAAAAGAAAAAGCTATTAAACCAATAGGCTTATGCATAGAAGTGCTTATAGCTGAATCCCAATTGAAAACTATGCATACATGAATTAATTCTCTCAAAAATACCACCCTAGCTTCTAACACAATCAAAAGTCATATCGGAATTTATCAATTTCTATAAGGTAAATAACAATTCAATATCCTATCAAGAGAAACAACAAATTATTAAAAATACATACCCAAGCCCCAAACTACTTATGTACGTACATATGGTTCTAAAAATGGAGACAAAGTAAGATGCACAACCATAGTAAACAAAATCAAATCTGTGAAATGACTACCACATAAATCTTTGATCTCTAGTGCAGTAGTTTAAGCTATAAATTTAGCACTAGAAATCATTTCAAAGAACCGACTTTATAAATCCATTTACATTATTTACATTGTTCAGACTGCTGTCCTCATCTTTGCTGTCATATTCACAATGTTTCAGTCATTTGTATGCTCCAGCCTTCTTCAGGTGATTGGAATTCCAAACCAAAGCCTTTATTTCATCTATGGGGATGATTGTTTCTGTTCCATGTGTCATGCCTCTTCTGGATATCTCAGTTTCAGTTATTTCTCTTTATAACTCAACTTTCCAAATTTTTCTTTACCTCTGCAGTGGCCTTGGGGTCAAGTTACTGGATTACTTCAACCAATGTTTTTATCCTCTGGGCCATGTGTCCAGTTATAAATCCATGATCCTTTCTGACTTTACATCTGTAATTATAGCACAACAAAACAGAAATAATAAAAATACCCACTCGTTAAATTTATAAACAATATAAATCTTCTTTTTAAAAAATAGATATTATCCTATGCTGGATACCAAGCCATATTGATATTCAAGGAAATAAAAAGCCGATAAAGCAGTAGAATACTTATTTAACATGAATGCCTCAAATATAAAAATTCCATACACTAACTTATGTCCAGCCATCTACAAGCTTATGAAGGAGAAATGTTCACAGTTGTGGAACAACTGTCAGAGCAACAAATTAAACAACAACCCAAACTCCATATAGGACACATATGCCACCTAACAATATCTAATCTAAAATTAAGAACCACTGTTGTGCATATCATGTCAGGAACCATACACAATTGAGCATATACTGATAATATATAGGAAATTCCAACAAACACAAGCCAAATACTAGAGAACGGATAACATAAATGATCTGTTCAAAAATAGTGAACTATGTAAGATTTTGCAGTTCATAAATGAGATTGGCCTATCATTTAAGTTTACAATCTATTTCTAAATGGTTTCTGCTTGAAAAAGTCCTACATTTTTAAAGAATAAGTTTATTACAATTTATCTTGATGCAAGTTGTAACTGGAAAAATCATTGTTATAATTTATATTTATCCTCAAAATAGTTAATACAATATTCATTCACAAAAAAATTATTGTTATACAGTTCAAAAATTTTCCAGCATTAAATAACACACAAAGTGTTGATAATCTGTAAAACAATCAATCAATCTTCTGTTCCATTAGATGGCTGTTTAATTTGGCCTTATAGGTAGTGCCAACTCTGATTGTGATTATGTGGAAAAAAATAAGGTTGTGTAGCTGAAAACTTACTCAATTCAATGGTTGCAAATAGAAGACATTACTTTTGAAGCTCCTTTTCCTTATTTATTTTTATATATATATATATATATATATATATATATATATATCTCATTATAATGCTGTGTAGTCTACATTGAGGTCTCCTCCAGTCACAAACTGGTAAAAAATATATATATATATATATATATATATATATATATATATATATATATACACACACACACATGAAGTAAATGTCTTTACTTTGCTTTCATGTGTAATATTTGTTTAAATATTTTAGCTGAAATTTGTCATATTTAACATTTAAAGTAGTGACTATTATATGAAAATGAGGAATTTACTAATTCTTGATTATTTTAATTAATTTGTAACTAATTTTTAATTATGCTATTCTGGGGCAGTATAATTGTTTTTTCTCGTTAGCTATTTATCCTACTGGTCTCCATATTACATTATTCCTCTATATTTGAAAGAATTCTGTTGAATAACTTTCTGTTGGTTATTAAATGTTTTGAATCTGTTGAAACTTTATAGACAAAAGTTTTAATTTTTATTTCAGAGATTTTGATTTTTCTTTATTTTTAATTTTTATGTAATATTTCAAATTAGGCTATGGATGGATTAATTGTATTGTAATTCATGTGTTAGAACCTTGTAATACTATTTTACTTTTAAATGGGAAGTTTTTTTTCTGTAATTAGTAACCATACTTAATGTTTCTTACAGATTTATGTGGCTGCATTTGCTGTGAGTTGCTATGCCAGTTCTGCATATCGTGCTGGACATAAACCTTTCAATCCAATTTTAGGAGAGACTTATGAATGTATCAGGGAAGACAAAGGATGGCGTTTTATATCTGAACAGGTATGAAGTTAATTGTAGACATTAATGAATTGATTGATAATTTTTAGTTTTCATCTCAAAGTTCCATTTTATATGAAATATATTATAAAGGTGATAATTAAGTACTATTAATGAATTATATCTAGCAGAAGTGAAAAGCAAGATGAACTACTGGCTGCCTTCATTGAGGCTGCCTGTCTCCATTGATCAAAAAGACAACACTTTGTTTGCTGCATATGCAGGAGAGGATGGTCAATGCAAACTTGAGAATGTCTGCTTGCAAAAAATATGGTTGAGGCAGTGGGCTTTATGGTGCCTAGAATTTGTTTATGCAAATGATTTGTGTCATGCATAGCGAAATTACCAATGTTTCTGGGCTCAATATAAACAGACAGATTTCTGTTTTGTCAGTGAATGAGTTGCCAGTATTACGTATTACTATTGTCATGATTCTGATTTTCTGTTTGTTCGTCCTTACTTTCTGTGTCCTGGTTATGTTCAATCTTTATTTGCGTTGTTTCTGTGTGGAATTCTTTGTTGCCTCTGCCATGGACATGTCTCTGGTTTTGTTTTGCTTTGTTTCATTTGTCTCCAGTGCTGCTGTTTGTTCCATCCCTCCTCATTTGTGTTCCAGCAGCAGCAGAAAATCAACTTTCATTATAATTATTTAATGAAAAAAAATTATTCTAATTAAATGACTGAACTGGAGTAAAATGCTACAGTCATGTCAAAGATCATTCCTTGTTTCTTGTATGTAACATCTCGTGTCATTTGAAGAGTAATCACTAGTTGCCCTTGGAATACTATCCTAACAACCCATATTATTCAATTAAATAACAAATGAAGTACACAATATTAGATTTCTGAAGTTATATTTTTACTGTCCTTTTGTAATAATTGATTTTAATCATTTTAGTTTTTGTCTTACTTTCAGTGTTTAAATTTAGATAATGCAGTCACTAATTACTGCAATTTCAAATATGTAAATATACATTACATTAAGCAAAAGTGACAATTTCAATTATTCAGTAGTTTTATTATATTAATAAATCTGAATGCTTCACTACAAAATAAATATTTTATCCAAATATTCTTTTCAATATTTAACAAATCAGATAACTAATAAGAGTATTTTTATTACTGGGCAATTTAAAAAATGAGACAAATGTCAAATTTTAGAAATGTTAAATATTAAGTATTTTTTAGAAGTTATTTGAATTAAGTTATTTTATTATTATTATACTTGTTTTTAACACAAATCACTTTTCAGCCATCCTCAAAGGTATAGTCCACCTGATTTATTTATTTTTGCAAACTGAAGCAATATTGTAATTAAAAATAGTTACATGTAAGAAAATATACACAGTGTGTTGGATAAATTGTAACTAAATTACGCAAAAATGAAAAACACACTGACATCTCATTTTAACAGATATATTTACCAAAATTACACAAAAATATCTTGAAATGATAAAGAGTAAATTTATTCAATAAAATTGCCATTGGCTTTAACCAGACGACTTTGGAATATCTTGTAACACTTCTAGACAGACAGTTTTTTGGTCTCTTCCTCAACTGCGCCCCACACCTAATAATCAAGGGGTTACTGTCTGGGGAGTTAGGTGGCCAGATGTAAGGGGTGATGTGGTCACAGAAATTGTCATACTGAATGATTGTGTACTAACCTGAGAAAGGATTTACCTATGTTACTCCTAACACTACTATTGAATGGTGGGTTGAACCAAATAATTTACTATTGTTATTGATACTAATATTGGGAATGTACTTTAGGTCGACGTTGTGCTTGCTTACATGTAAAGCATCTACATATTTGTATTTGGTTTTATATGTATCGAAGATGTGCTGGAGTTGGTGGAGAGTCCATATTATACAGATTTATGGAGATTGTTGAGTATACATGGAGGATGGTTGCATTCCTTACTAATATATGCATGATTGTAGAGTTCCTTATTATAAGGCATGAATTCTCCCCTAGATAAGTCAAACATGGTGTCTAGGAAATTTATCACTTTGGCATTGGTGACAGTGGTGATGTCAAGTCTGTGATCCTTAAAAAAATTTATTAGCTGTTTCTTAAGCCTGTCAGTTTTTTTTTGTTTTTTTTTTTTGTTTTTGTCTAGAGTTGAATAGTAGGATCACTCTGTCGTCCCTGTACAGCCTGGTATGCTTGCTATTGAAAATATATCTAAGCCTCCATAGGAGCAATATGCTGACTAGTTCACACCCATTGCTATAAAGTTGGAATTGTCTTTATTGGTCCACAAAGAACCATCATGGTATAGAATAGGCTTTTGGGCTTGTAAAATTATTCTGATATCCTTGTCCGTGATGGTGCAGTAGTTCTTAGCCAGTTCAATAGTGGCCATTAGTAGATTTTCAATGATTGACATGTAAAAGTTAGTTATGTTGAATTGCATAAAGGTGCACTCATTTTTATTTTTAATATTAATGAACCAACTTATAGCATCTTTGGTATTTCTCCACTGATTGACCCCTGTTGCATTCCTGGTATAATTATATGCTCATTCAAGTATGGTTTTGCTGATACTATCTATGTTGTTCTTGGAGGGGTTAAGCAAACAGAACTGTGGATTACTGGGGAAATTACTCTTATGGTTCTTAATGATAATAAAAGCCTGTTGTTTATGGAGTTTGTGCACTCTATCATCGATCTTAAGTTTCTTGGCTGTTGTTCGTGCCTCGCTTGTTGATACTATTTTTCCATTCTTTAGGGGCCTTGTATACTTTGTGGACTGCCTTACAAATGGCTTTGTGGTAGTCGGACATGTTATAGAGATAGTAATTGCCAGTTTTATCGGATTTGTTGATTATTTTGATGGTGTTACATATCTTGGCAATGTCTTTTTTCATTTTTAACTGGAGGCTGTTGTGTTTATTAATGTATTTAATTTTATCAGTTATAGAAAAAAAGTCCTTTTTGAATTTGTGGAGGAGTTCATCGCTAGATGGCGTTTTCAGGGACTTAAAACCAAAGGAGTCTTTAGTTTCATGTTCATTTTGGCGAAAAAATGTTTCCATTGCATCCTACCCACGACACTTTCAGTTTTATGCAATAAGCTAAGTTCATATTGGTTCCTTTTAGGGACTATAATGTTTTTAGTGGGGAGGTCCAAGATAAAAGGTTCCATGATGTAAAAACATAAAAGGTAGGGTATACTATAGTATACACCGGAGAAAGTGCTTGACATGGGGGAGCAGTTTATAGTTATAAGGTAGATAAATAAAACGGCTAAATATAAGCAAGCATATATGTATATGCTGGTATGCATACATGGGCAAGCAAATAAATAATTGTCAAATTCATACACGAGGTGTAAGCATAATAGTACTTGATGTAAATATACAGAGCAAAGATATATTTTTTCCACTACCTTTAGTCACTCTTTTATTTTATCCCCTATATTTATTTATTACTACCAATCTTTTAATTTCCTTATAAATCCTTTTTTCCTTCACACTTCTTATACTTCCTTCTCTCACCACATATATTTTTTGTCTCCATATATTATAATCCCTTTCCTTATGCTCATCCTCATTTCCACACGTTTTTTGTATTTCTTTCCTTATCGTCTTTATTTTTTTCATTCATTTTTTATCTCCCCTTGACATTATAATGGCTATCATTATTTTTCCTTATACTTTTTTTCTAACCTTCTCATATTTTTCTAATTTTTTTTCTAAAAAATGCAACTCACCAGCATTGCATTTAACACACTTCTGTGCAATTTTATTTTTGCACTATGTAGCAGTGATACTCCCATAAGCCATCTGTTTACTTTTAACAGCATGGGCCTTGTGACCCTATGAGCTGGTAACCCAGCAAACCTTAGCCGCACACCAAAACACAGGTACATGTATATGTACTAATTAATATATATATAAATAAATAATTATCTAACATAATGGGTTTTTATTTATCAATCCAACAGATTTTTTACCACTTTAAATATTATTTTTAGTTAATACTCATATTTAAGTAGATGCTCCGTTTATTCATTAAACAGTACATTTGTTTATTTCCATGTACAAGCCTGGATATTCAAGAAATCTTATTAAAGAAAAATATTCACTCTCCAGCAGGATTTGAACCTCTGGGCAGAGGGAAAGCATCATTAGATCCAATGTACCTTAACCAACTCAGCCATGGAGCAGTCTTGCTAATCAAGCAAATTTTGTACAGTGGCTTTAAGTGAAATCCTTCTCATCATAAATTCCTCAAATCTGATCAGTTTCATATCCAAATGTAAAAGTAATTTTCTAAAGAAAGAATTTTTATTTATGAGAAGGATTTCACTTAAAGGCACTGTTGGAAATTTGCTTGACTGGCAAGGCTGATCTATTTCTGATTAAGTTAAGGCACATTGAATCTAATGACAGTTTCTCTCAGTTCAAATCCTGCTGGAAAGCATATTTTTAAGATTTCTCAAATATTCAGGCCAGTAAACAAAAATAAATATAGTTTAATAAATTAATGGAGCATCTATACAAATGTGAGTATCCACTTAAACTAACATTTAAAGTAATTAAAAATATGTATATATGTATATAATTCTACCAGTATATGATAAAGCACTTACAATGTCATTTTTATGCTACATGAGGCATTAGCAGTAGTTTACTGAGCATATATATCCATATAACACTGAATTATATATTGGCTATGCTTGTGCACTCCTTTAGGAAGCAAAATATGGAACTTTTTCAACCTGCACGGCAGACCTAAAAACATTGATGAGGAAAATACAAACACTTGAGAAAATAATATGCATTGGCAGAAACCATGAAATAAAAACAATGAACATGAGAATAATAACTGAAATATCTTTTCTAGAATTTCATTATTTTTTTTAAAAAAACGTTAATTTTATAATCTGAAACAATCTTTTCCAGGTTAGTCATCACCCACCTATATCAGCATGCCATTGTGATTCAAGAAATTTTATATTTTGGCAAGGTAAGTCTTATCACCAACATTTTAATTTTAAAATTCAATTGTAAAATACAATTGATAAATAATTTACAATTACTGAATATTAAACATATATCTTGAACAGAGCATGGGTTCAAGACATCCGTATACTGCAAGCCTACATTCACCAGAAAATACCTCAATTTCAATTCCCATCATCCACTGCTTACAACATCAAACAAAAGTCATAAGTAGTGATCTAGAGACAAATTGAAAAAGATGGGTACAAGAGGATAACAACACTCAGAAAACAGCTTCAGTCTGCCTACAAAAAGGGATTATTGGAGAAAATACAAAAGATTTCATAACATCAGGACAACCTTCAAAAGTGGTTCAACACTTTGCAGACATCTCTTCCAAGTAAGACTCCTCATAAAGGAGTGCATGACTAAGGACTGTGTGTACACCATCCCGTGCAGCTGTGATAAGAAATATAAAAGAGAAACAGGCTGTCCCCTTAAGGTAAGACTACAAGAACATCATAAAGCCATGGCACAAATGGAAAAAGAAAAATCAGGTGTAGCTGACCACATATGGAGGGAAAATGGAGATCACCACCCTCTGTGGGATGAGATTGAAATAATAGACAGAACATCACTGGAAAATTGAAAACTTAAGGAATCAGCATATAGCCGCAAAAATCTCCTAAGCTGGACAATCATAGAAATGAATACAATATGGGAACCAGTAATACAGAGTGCAATAACAACAAAATTGCAAAATGAGCTCTGGTAAAAAATGGTAACTGAGACATTAAGTTTATAAGTCCCAAAATTTCATACACTGATGTCCTCAAGGAGAGATGAGTTAAAGGGAGATAACTGAGATATCTGGAAAAGGTATGGCATGGGGAAATAGAACAGTCTACCTTGGTGGATGAAATAAAGGGTTCAGTTCAAAATTCCAATCACCAGAACATACAACAGGTGAAAATGTTGTGAACATGGCAACAAATATGAGGACAACATTCCGAGCAATGTAAATGATTAATTGATGCTAAGTTTTTTTTAGGTTTGTAACTTTCAGTGTAATAGGCTGATGGGATTAAAGTTTTTCATCTTTAAATGTCCACTCCTTACAAATTTCAATTAGCTGCTATCAAATAAGTTCAATAACATGGATACTGTCTATATTAGGTTTATAATACCCAGAAATTCATACACAGATGTCCTCAAGGACACATGGCACAGTGGATAAAGACGTTAGTTAGATCCAGTGACAGAAGCTTGTGAGTTCAATACCTGCTTAAGGCGGTGGAGAACTTGGAGAGAGGAATTAACAGGCAATAACTGATAATTGACATCCATTAGACATGGCACATAGAACTAGAACAGTCTACCCGAGTGAACGAAATAAAGAGTTCAGTTCAACATTCCAATCACCTGAAGAAACGTAATAAATATGGTGACAAAGATGAGGACAATAGTCCGAATAATATAAATAGTGAACATGGATACTTTCAATTCAATGTCTATATAAGAGTTACCTCTGTGAGATTTTTTCTTCTGAAGACCATACTAAATAATAATACACTGTTTTTAACACCCAGTAACCAACATATTCTCCCTGACTTCAGAGTTGGCATTACTGCTGCTAATTTTTTATAAAAGATTTTTGAAGACTTAATGAAAAAAATTTTCTGATTTCTGGAATGTCAGCTCTGAAAGCAAATTATATCTATCTTTTTATATATATATAAAACTGACTGTGTTTGTGTTCGCGAACTACTCGAGAACCATAAGGCATATTTTCACCAAATTTGGAACATAGATTGTACTTGATACTGGGTGTGTCTGGGGAAAAAATAGTCATTTTTTAAAAATCAATAATCGATAAATATAATGTTTAAATGGGAATTTCCATTAGTTTGGTTGTTTTTAAACTTTCAAACTTGAAGTCTAAACCCTAAGGCCGATTTTAATGAAACTTGATAAGTGTATGCAACTTACTGTCACATTTATTATACGCTATATTGATTTTCATTTCTCTCGACACTGGGACCCCCAGGGTGCCCCAAAGGGACCCAAGAAAATTCAAATTGCTTCAATTTTGATGAAATTTTGCTTGCTTGTTACGCTCTTACAATGAGATAGAAATCGGTTGTCAGATTTTTAAAAATGCATGATACCTCAATTGCTTTTCAAGTGTATTTTGTAGCAGTATTCCCCAATTTCAACGAAAATTCCAGTATTGAGATTATATCGAGTAACTGAAGTAGTCACTTGGAATTCACTGAAAATCAACACTGGGACCCCCTCGAGTTAGGAGACCTGCAGGGAACCCCAAAATTTTCAATTAAGTCTACAGCCTTGGCCATAAAGTTGATTAAACAGAAAATTTAAAAAAGATGTGCTTTATTATTTTAATTACTATTAGTCTTAAACCTGTCCTTTGGCTTGAAATTTAGGACCCCTAGGGTGAACCAAAGGGACCCCCAAATTTTCAAATTGCTTCGATTTCGACGGAATTTTACATGTATGTTACAATCTTAAAATGAATCAAAAATGATTATCAGATTTTGTAAACTACATAAGGGGCCCCCAAGATGATCCATGAACACTTTGCTGCCCCATTAGTCTTTCAGTTGTGGTTAGCAGCATTCCGATGAAAATTTGCACATAATTTGTGTTTAGACCAATCAACTCAAAATCAAAACTGACACCCCATGTGTCATAAATACATTATGAAAAATATCAGTTTTTCCCATGGATTTCCCGGTTTTGTTACTGAAATAGTTTAGTTTGTATTAACTTGATGGCAAAAATTATATCCTTCCTTAAGAAAAAAAGAATAAGTGTATATGAAAGTGTGTATCGATGAGAGAAGTGCACGTAGGTATAAGACGCATGTGCGAGATCAATCGAGATGTGTAGTGTGTATAATTGATTTTGCTCCACGTGCAATGATCAATTGAGTTATATAGTGCGTACTACCGATTTTGCTTCACGTGCAGTATTCATTAGTGCTATGTGATGAAATAAATGCAAAAAATCTCATTTGTATCAAAGTTGTCATCCAGTAAGGTAGGCTGCCTTCATGCATGTATATTTTGAATTTTTGATACTTTAAATTTAAATTTGTGAAAATCATATTATAAAAAATGTTTAAGCATAAATGCCAATTTTTAATTATGTATTTATCATCTTCTAATCAGCGTTTAAATAATGCTTACTAACTCCTATATTTGGAAACTTGAGCCCTAAAATTTTGACAGTTTTATTCTGAAAAATGCACTTATAACAATGTAAAGACCCTCTTTCGATTCATTTATAATTATGCTAAACTTAGCATGTACGTTTTAACATTCATAGTGAGTAGGTTTCTAGCTGCACGTTAATCTTTATTTTTTCACTAGAACATTTTTTTGGTAGTCTATTTTTAGATAAATCCTAACTTTACAAGCTTGCTTATAACTGTTTACCACGTTCCCGTGGTCTTCCTTATAGACTTGCATTTAATTTATTGTGGCCATCTTTCCATTAATGTGTATAATATTCTTGCATTTTAATTGATTACTTTAGTGTTATTAAAAAAGCTTAGCCAAACCTCTCCAACTACAGCCTGACAGTAATGCCAAGAAAGTGAAATCCTTCACTTGGACGTGCTACTACTACAGCCAAACGCATGAAAGCATGGAGAAGTCTTTGTGAACGTTGGTTTTCAGCCTTGGCACGGCTGCTAGGAGAAGTCTTTGTTGAATTTCTTCTCCTTCCAATGCATGTTGTTCATTCGATGTAGTTTGAGCAAAAGCTGTCAACAAAGCATTTCTCCTCAACAATTTTCAAAAATCCATTGCGATTAATGTACTCTTCATTTGCTGACATTTTTTTGTATTTTCTGTGCTTCTGTAAAAAACAACTTTCTCCTGTAATGTTTTCACACTTCATATCATAATTTTTTGCCATATAGATAAGAGGCATTAAAGAAAAATCTTCTTTATTTTAACTTTACAGATTGGATGAGGTTCGTGATCTTTTTTTTTTAATAAACCCAGGCAATGCCGGGTAATGCTGCTAGTTCATTGATAATTTGGTTTCAAGTTTTTATGTAGAACAAAATATAACAATGTTGCTCAAGTTTTAAATTAGTCTGGAGCCAGTAGATGTAATTTCATGCTAATACATTCATTCAGTTATTTTTAAATTATTCAGAATAGAAATGCTTGAATGTTCTTCCACAAAGTTAGAATTGTTCAACTACTCAATCTGTGAATTTGATGCAGAAGTTGAAAGGTTACTGAAGGCAGTTGAAATATTGATGAAATTCTTTGTTCAGTTTCTTTGAACATTCCATTTAGTTTGACACTTTAAAAAATTCATGATAGTAGCATCTCAACTCACAGAGTCTGCTTTCAGATAAGCAATATGGCTTTCACTTCTTTAGGTCAACTGCTGTGATGTATTATCAGTTATTGCTAGATGAGCCTATCAAGCTTTAGATAAGAATATGGAAGTAGGGAGTAGTGCTGCTCTAGATCAATAAGGTGGCTGCTGGAAGACCCTATATCTGGCAAAAGGTCTCTACATCATGCCATACAAGCAGGAGAACTCAGTCATGGCTGTCAGACAATTTCTGTGACCACATCACCCCTTACATCTCGTCACCTAACTCTGTAGACTGCAGACCCCTTGATTATTATGTGTGGGACACAGTTGAGCAAGAGACCCAAAAAACTCTTTGTAACACCAAAGATTAACTGAAGGCAAGGAATTATGGCAGCATTCACAAACTTCAACAAGGAAACCATCCAGAAGATTCCAAGGTCATCTGGAGGCTGTGGTTGAAGCCTGTGGCAATTTTATTGAATAAATTTACTCTTTAGCATTTCAAAATATTTTTGTATAATTTTGATAAATATATCTGTTAAAATTAGATGTCAGTGTCATTTTTATTTTTGCACAATTTAGATGACAATTTATCTATTGCACCCTTTATTTAGAGATTCTAGATAAAATACAAAGAATCTGCAATGTTATTGGTCCTGACCTGGTATCTTGACTTCAGTCACTTTCCCACCATTGTAACATAGCTCTCCTATGGTTTTTCTGTTAATATTTTCATAGTAACAGTTCTGATGAGCTTTCCTCTTTGGTACACATTGTAAATACACATTAGGGTTAGATTTTTTGTGTGCCCTCTTACATTAGTAACTATGAATACATCTTGTAAAAGTAAGTAAGGATACCTTAAGTAAGGTACACTTATGTTACTCATTGCATCCACTCACTCAGAGTATATGTGACTTTCTAGACTACTAAATCCAGGAATTGAACCTCTGTAGAATGTAGTCAGAGTAACAGAATACTGGAAGATAAAGTGATTAAAAGAATCAACACACATGTTAAGATGTAATAATCTAACTGAAATGATGTCTCTAAAATAAATGGAGGTCGCTAAAACACAATAGTAAACTTAGCTATTTTCAGTGTATACATTTTTATTCAATACCAAATTTGAATAGTTATCTATTTATATACTTGAATGTATATAAATATTGCCTAATTATGCAAACGAACGGGCCCTGAATTTTTACTTATCACAATGAATGAGTGTTCACTCTGGAAGACTTTGTGCCTTGAGCTCCTATTGTCATTCAATCCAGACCTTAAGTGGAACTCTTACAGACAATCAATTGCTAAAGATACTGAAAAAAATGTTCAGTTTCCTTTACTGTTCCAGTAAGTACCTGACTCCTCCTGCTATCATCCTAGTACAAGAGCCAGATCATACCAAAAATAGATTACTTCTGCCATATGTAAGGAGTTGCCCAGGGTAAAAAGTAGCATACATACAAATTTATATTTGATAGTAAATGATATTTCTAAAAGTATTTACAGTTAAAACATTTTAGGTGGAGGTGACTGTTAATATCTGCCTAGATGCTTACTTGGTACCTTTGGTGTCAATGATGTTGATTTGTTTTTATATACTCAACACTGAATTTCTTAAAATATCAACCATTTCTTCACTTTTCAAATTACTTAATCCCAACTATTCTACCTTTTCTGAGAGAAAAATATTGTGATGTATCCTCTATTTTGATCCAGAACTGGACCATGCTGGAGAGCCACAATAAATGAAAAGTTATTACTTTAAATTAAAACATTTTCAGACTAGCCACACAGAGATAAGCATAGAGAAAAACTTCTGCCTGATTAGTACCATTCACACAATCATAACAAGTTTGACAAAAAAAAAAAACAGTTTATATTATAGTTCAACAAATATATATGATAAAATAAAAGAACAAATAGGAAACATTTATCAATCTAACATGTTTCACTTTTATTAAAGCTTCATCAGAGATTGAAGAAAAACTGACAAAAACAGAAAACACTGGTATTTTCAATTGAATTGTTTTGAATTGAAGAAGTATTATATTCTATTTGCTTTATATTAAAATTTCTAATAGAACATCTTATTTGTTCATCTACAAAATAATTAAGGAAATTATTATTATTAAGAGTTAATTTTATAATTTTAAGTTTGCTGTAGAAAATCTGTTTTTGTAGATGAATTAATTATGGCATGTTTTATTAGTTTATTTTATATTTGCTATTTTATAGTAATTTGGACATTCACTCTTATAGTTAAGAGTGCACAATTTTTTTTTTTTTTCTTTAAGCTTTTCACCCCAAGCAAGGCAGGAAGCCACTAGGATGCAAAGGGTTACAGAAAATTTGGAGCAAGGTCAGATAGGAGTGATAGAAGAAAGGATTCAGAAAAGGGTAGTAGATAGATCAAGGCAACTGGAGATGTTGATTGACATTACATTTGAATAGCTGGAGATTATAGCTCACAGGGAAACTGGAATAGAGAAGGGAGTTCCACAGGTGAGAGTTGTGAGACATGAAGCTATTGGAGTAGAAGAGACGGCTACATTTAAAGAGTTTCGACAGTGAAAGGTTGAGAGCAGTATGCCAGCCTCGTAGGGCGCTTGAACTCATGAAGTCTGGGAACCAGCAAATGCAGCTCCTCAGAGCAATTGCCATGAAAGTATTTGTAAAACAGACAGAGAGAGGCGACAGCGCGTCTGTGAGAAAGTGACTGTAGACGAGATGCCACAGCAGGGCCAATTATATTGCATATCCACCTCTGGAGCCTATCAAGAACCCCGAGGCAAACAGAAACAAACAGACCATATATGGCAGCAATACTCCATGCAAGAGCGAATTGTTGATTTGTAGATCTGGAGGATCGATTCCAGGGAGAAAAATTTCCTGGCGTGGCACAGGGAGCCAACTTTCCTTGCGGTGGACGAAGCAATTCACTCAATGTATTTGTTCCATCTCAGGTCAGCAGTCAACGTGAGACCGAGCAGCCGCAGAGAGGTGCTCTCGAGAAGTTGAGCGTCAGACATTCTAATGGAGGGCAGGGAAGGATCTCTGTGGTGATTAATAGTGAGCAGTTTTGTTTTTGAGGCATTAAAGTTGACCAGCCAATTCCTGCCCCAGTTCACAACCGATTGGAGGTCCTTTTCAAGACGCACGGCCAGGTAGTTTTGTCAGTGACACTAGATTTGTTTTTGAGGCAGGAATAAATTGTGGTGTCATCCGCGTAGATGCCAACTTAGGAATTTATGGCGTCAGGAAGGTCATTTATGTAGATAAAGAATAGAGTGGGGCCTAGAATGGAGCCTTGAGGAACACCTGCGTTCGTGGGATAGGAACTGGAGGAGATAAGTAGACAAAACTTGTCTAAATTATTTGAGATATATATATATATATTTTAGCTTATACATGGTTACAGTAGTAATAAGTTCATTACATTAATGAATGGGATACAATATTAACTTGATAAACTCATGATAGGTAAGCACCTGTATGAATTTCATTGCAAGCCAAAAGCATACTATTTATTGGAAGATTACCAAATGTAAACACAAAATCACCAGCTGGCATTTTTGTATTGTGTTCTTTGTTCTTTAATTAGACAATTCTATTTCTTCAAGGAGGTGCTGAAAAGTTCTTGGCTTGACTAAGAATGAATTCCAAAAATGAAATTTTATATTTGGTCATTTGATCAGATTTTGAGAATAGGAAGAGCCAATAACTTTTCAGCAATACCTATAATGATAAATTTTCAGAACTGATTTCCCCAATAGTAGATATTCATCAGAATTTGGGCATCTCAACATGGTGTAATGATTAGCAAGCTGATCTCAATAGAACAATTACAACTGAGTAGTGAGTTTGATCCTCACTGGGTGCCCCATACTTTCAGCCTTGTGCCACATCTAAGCTACACTTAGACAATCACCATATTTATTTAATTCAAGTAAAGATGCATACTTTTGAATAACTCAACTTCTATTCTATGATGCTGAAATTTTATCACTGAAACCATTTATTTACATGGTATATAAATGCAAACAAAGATAAGTTTGTTTTATAAGAATGTTAGGTTTATTCTCATTCTTTGTGCATCACATTCTACAATATTTATTTCTTATAACAATCAATTTATAATAGAACTTTGTTAATTTTAGTGAAGTGCCTGCATTGTATGAGAGCTTAAAACTGGAAACATCAGTTTTACTAAACCAGCAGTCACAAGGTATTAGAATGTCAACTTAGATAGAAAAATGAAATTTCATTGTATTTTTAGATATATTTCTCTTTCTAATCACAATCTAATAAAATGCTTTGTTTTTTAATTAATTATTAAAATCTGATCTATATTACAGTGATGTTCAATAATTGATTATTTAAGTAAACTTCTATTTGCAGATGTGCGGATTAGAACAAGATTTTGGGGGAAGTCAATGGAAATCCAACCCATTGGACATGTGAATGTGTTTTTACCAAAGTAAGTGTGAAAAGGAAAAATTCATCTTTTTTATTATTTTTTCATATTGCTTTTAATTCATAAAATTTGATATTCAATGTTAACCTTAAAAGATTTTCATTTTTAAAAATGAAAAATTTCCAATTTTACAGATTTGAGCATAATAAAAATTGCAGTAAATATTCTTAAAAATGTGTTCTACATTTTGGTAAATTTGCATTAAAAAGATAAAGGAAGTTACAGAATAAAAACCGTTTATTACAAAAAAGGTGTAGCATCCAAAATTAGATAACAAAATTGCTAATATGAATGTAAATTAAATTAAACCATTGACTTAATATTGATACAGAATATTACTAAGACATGTACAGGTGATGGCTTTCAATTATTTTATACATTTATAAGTATAGGACTTGACTTGTCACAATCTTCTGGCATGCTTTTTTATCCCATTTCTCTTGCAGTTTCTGCTACAAATCAGTTGATGTCATTGGTTTCCTTAACTTAATATTATTGCTGATGATCTTCCAAAGATTGTCAACTGGGCTTTGGATGGATGATGCCAAAACCTCAATATTTTTAGCTTCAAAGTAGTTTTACATTTTTGCAGTAAGATAAGAGGCATAATCTTACATAAAGATAGACCCAGAGATTGGAGAAAATTTCAGAGATCGAACATGTTATTCAATAATGTTGTTATATATTGTAGCATTTACTTGACTAAATGACTGGGCCAACATCAGCCATAGACAACATTAACCTACATCAATGCTACCACCTCCAAATTTAACCAATTTTTTTTATACATTTAGGAAGCAATCGCTCCCTTTACAATGACACATTGCACATTGCATGCTGTCAGAAGCAATCAAATAAAACTTCATTACTTGTCTAATTTTCATAAATCCAGACAATGTGCTCAATTGCAAAGGCTAGTTGTTTTTGGTTCTTTCTGCTGATGGGGGTTTTGACAGCAGGAAAATGTACATGAAATTCTGCTTCATATAAACAATGTGACATTTAATGTAAAACATTTTGGTTACCTCATGTAATTCCTGTTGTTGCATCAAAACAGTCCACAATGGTGAGTCTTTGAATCAAGGTATTGCTTTATGCAGATGCTTTGGTCATCATAAAATTTTAATACTGATAGTCTAGAAATTACATTCTTAGACTTAACATCTTTTACAATAGCAGAAATCATTGTAAAAAAAAATTATTACCAGCAATACATTTTTGAAAAACAATTACCATCAATACATTTTTGAAAAAAATATTACCAGCGTTACATATCAGAAGAAAAAATATTATCAGAAATAGATTTCTGAAGGAAAAATATTACCAGAAATAGATTTTTGAAAAAAAAGAAATATTAACGACAATAAAAATTTTATCAGCATTAAATAACCCATTGAGGTTGATATGCCATAAAACAAAACAAACCAAACCAACTCAATTTTGCACAAGTACTAACAGCTGTTTTTGATAATTGGTAGTAATTTTATTTTTTTATAGTAAATTATGCATCTCTATTTAAGGTATAACGACCATTATCAATGGAATAAAGTCACAACCTGCGTCCATAATCTTCTTGGTGGTCAGCGTTGGGTGGATCAATATGGAGAAATGTATATTAGAAATGGAGATATTTCCTGCAAAATTACATTTACTAAAGTAAGTACATTTATTCAATGCTGTACTCACTAACAATTTATAGGCCACAATGTACATTCTGATAAATATATTCATAAAGTAAAATATGTAAAGTAGTAATTGATGGATTTATTGTTTGTTCTTTATTATTGGGACTTTACAAGAACAAATCTTAATAATTGTATTAATTTACATTTACTATTAAACATTTAAATATGAATGAAAAGTTTTTCATATTTTTTGATAACTGTCAGTTTTTTTTTTTTTAAATTTTGTATTTTATTATTTCAGGCTAGTTACTGGTCAGGTAAAAGGCATGAGATTTATGGCCAAATCATCAGCCAGGACAGTAAAGTAGCACATAAACTGTTTGGCAAGTGGAATGAAGCAATTTATTGTGGTAATTCTGCTCCTTCTGCACGTTGCATTTGGCGCCCAGGTAAGACAAACAGGTTTTCTCTTTTGTTTTTTTGTTTTTTTTTCTTACGATGAGAAAATGTCAGTGAATTAAAAACTTAAGAGTGTGGCATCCAGTTAAATTTAAAATTCTGTCTTTGACTGGTAATTTTAAAAGAATCCAAGTAATCACCAATTCTGCACTAAAAATTGATTCAAAAAAACAATTTTCTTAATGCTTCTTTGACTATATGTACTATGTATAGGTGTAAAGGTTATCACATTGTTGTGATTTATAGATGCTTAAAGTGTGCAAATTAGTCCAATAAATTGAATAAGGTTTAGTAAAAATTGTGTTTGAGGTAAAATAATATCTATTATAACAAAAACTACTTAGTTCCCAGGAAATTATTTTAATAATCAGTTTGTCTTAATTCATAATTTCTATGGCAACATTTATGGCTGAACTTTACTGTTTCATTTTCTGTTTTTAAAAATGTCTAGTGTGGTGGGTCTAACATATTTTGTCTTAGCTTGTTGATAGCAATTTTACTTGTGTTTCTATATGGAAGATTGTACTGGAAACAAGAAAGTTTATAACACCATTCCCCATTTCTGCTTAGTTCCAGTTTGTTAACCAGTGTAATAAAAAGCATTACTTTTGTTAGTAAAAGATTTTACAATATTTTTTTTTATATTTGCTGAGTTTTACATTGATTTTTTAAATTACATAGATTTACTTTTGATAATAGTAATTCTAATGTTTCTTTTAAGATAACTGCTGATACAAAAGTGAAAGTTTAGATATTGATACAAAGAAGAAACTAGTTTTAGATTAAGCTAATAAAAGGTAATTTAAAACAGAATCAAATTTTATGTTTAGCTAAAGCCTTTTCTTTGATGAATTTTCATTTTAAAATATTTTTGTATTACTGCATGAATCATTTGTATTGTCAACAGTTTTAATTTCGACACTTAAGTAGGTGCACCAGATGAAAATGAGAAAAACATTTATTCTGTTATATACATTATTTTTTGTGCATGAAAAAATAAGTGTAAAATTACAAACAATACAATAAAAAGATTTTTCAATGTGGTAGATATAAATTTTATGAAATTAGAAATTATTTTCAAAAGGTTTTTTCAAAGTTGTCTTTTTTATTGTTAATGAATTTTTGCAAATTTGAAAAGTTTATTAATCTATATTATAAAAGAAATGATTCTCTATCCATTACACACTGCATGCATTTATGATATGTATATGTGTATGTCTGTGTTGGAGGTGAATGACTGATGTGTACTTGTGTCATTTAATGTACACACAAACACATGCATACATACAATTTGACTAAGTGTGAAATAAGACATTGGAACATCCACTCAGTCTGGACAGACCTTATCCTGAACTGAGCAATAAAATCAAAAACAAAAAAAATTTTTAAACCCTCAAAAAACTAGATAATTATATAATTTTATTGAACTTTTTGGAAACTATATGGTAATAAAAATTTTATTTTTTTATTTTTAGATTTGCAATGAATGAAAATATACATGTGCATGCACAATTTTAATCACTGTGGAATATTCATGTGTGACCTAGTCTATTTTTAATCGGCATTTCAATTTGGTAATCGTCAAGGATTGCCGGCCTGCTGGAATTAATTTTTTTAGTCTTCCATATCAAAATTTGCACTTTTGAACTTAGCAAACCACTTACTCTCAGCATCTCCATAAATATCTTTTTTAGCTGTTTAGCATCAAATGATAAAAATGCATCTCATTTTCTTATATTTTTACTTTTAACATAAAAACATTTAAAATTCACAACCCATGTACACATGGACATGTATATATGTCCTAAATTTCAGTCCCATGTGAAATGAAATCGTGTTCAAATGTCACATATTGAAAAATGATGCAAACTTTTGTCTCAGCTCAATATTACATAAAAATACACATAAAAATATTTGTAAACAATCCTAATTTTTTATGGCTTAAAAAATTAACAGGTTTTTTTGTTAGTTGTGCTATTTTTTGCTCTCATTGCACTTGTGCTATTTTTATCTGAATTCACTTTTTGTAGCCATTTAATTTTTTTTTATTTAACCTTAATTTCACTTTATTAGCATAAATAATAAACATTTACTTTGTAGCTATCTCTATGATACCAGGTTCTAGGTATAAATAGATTTAAATAGGCTGATAACAATAGATAGAAACAGAGCATAATGATATTAGAGATCTTTCACTGTAGGTAAGAGAAAAAAAGCTGATTATTTTTTATTTTACTTCACAGCTACACATACATGTAAGAAGACAGACATTAAGCTGATGATTTTTTTCTTTCCTTTCTTTTTCATTTTTATTGTCTCTAATTTTGATTATATTGCTCAGCTTAGTGTAGGAGACTGAATGCGAGGGGAATGTATTATTCCAATGTCTTATTTCAAGCTTAGTCAAATTGTGTGTGTCTGATGGCATGAGTGCATGTAATTCGCTCCTAACCAATACAGACATATGCATATACATTATATAGGGACCTCCACTGAATTTTCAATACCTAAAAGATAAAATTAATTTTTAAAAATGAAAAAGCATTCTTGAAGATTTCATTTTTAGCTTTAATTGAAAGCTAAATGATTAAATTTACTATTTTCAGTAAGTAAAATATTCTGATGTATTTTAACTAAAAATTATATAGATTGGAATCTTAACTTTTCAGCCAGTTTAAGAAAATTTTCTTAAAAGCACCCATTTTCTTAAAATTAAGAAATTTGTAAACTGAATAAAATTATCAATTTTAAAAATTTTCCAAAAATAAAATATATATTTCTGACACTTATTTGAGTAAAATTAATCTGATTTGAAACCAATATTACTTATCAGTGGGTCCTCTTTATCTCATATTTTATTGATGTCATCAACATCACCGATAATGAGAGCTAGTAAGAATGACCAGAATTGACATAAATTTACGAGATCTAAGTGGATGCATTTTCTTTTTTTAATTTTTTACTATCTAGTGATTTTTACGAATTAACATAATATTTTCAGCAATTATCTAATATTTTATTAACTTTTAATTATGTTTGAAGATGCTTTACGAAAAAATAATATAAAATTTACTTAGATTAATTTTAAAATTTAATAACTGACATAAAATACCATGATAGAAGTAAAAATCAATAATTTATGAAATGTTATATTTTATTTATTATTAATTGTTATCATGATGGTTATTTTATCATTAAATTTTTATAGTACTTTAAATTTAAAACTTACTTTGAAATTTTGAAGGGATGATTTGTAAAGACGTTAATGATGAAACAGAACTGAATAAGGAAATTGTCAGATGACACTTAAATCATGTGACTTTTTAATGATTATAAATAACTTCCTATAGGTAGAAATTGGGAATGCTCTATACACTAAAAATTATTTTTTTAAATTCTTTTAAAAATATATTGGCTCAAACAATTGTTATAAGCTTTTAAATTTTTGATTTGTAAAATTAATTTTCACTTTTCACTTAGAATATCACCAAACCACCACCTTGAAAGCAATGAAGAATTTTAAATGATTTTTTAATATAAATTATTCATTGAAAAAATTTTCTTCCTAAGACAATAGTGTCCTTAATAAATCTTATTTATCAAATTAAAAGCTTTTCTAATTAAATAATGTCATAGTTTTATTGCATTTTTTATTTTACAATTCAGAGCAGTTTTTCAGTGAAAGGGTCATCTGTTTTTAAAAAAAAAAAAAAAAAAAAATTCCCCGCCCTAAAAATTTAATTTATCAAAATTTCATGAAATTAAATTAGTGGGTGGTAACATATGTAAAAAAAAAAAAAAAAAATTTTACCAAGATTTTCTTTAAAAAAAAAAAAAAAAAAATGAATTCATTTCTGAATATGTTCTGAAAGTTTCATTAAAATCCCACAATTATTTGATTTTTGAAAGAATTTCCAAATCAATATGTTTTTCACCGGAAAAAGTGCAAAAAAAAAAAAAAAACCCTTTATCTTTGGTTCGCTGCTGACGTAAAAAAAAAAAAACAAATTTTTAACCAAAATTTCAAACATGCTACAAAGGAGTAAAAAATTTCAAAAAATAATTAAAAAGAAATACTTTGGTCTTTCTTCTTAATAATAACAAACATTTTAATGTGAAGACTTTGTCTTTATTGAATTTGGGGACTTTTTTCATCATGCTATGCTGTTTTTTATGCAACCAAGTGGAGGTACCTACATTATATATATATATGCGTGCAAAGTTAAACAAATACTGTGATGGATAGATAATCAGTTCTTCTTTTATAATATAGACAAAGGATGCTGAAAATTCACTGTCCAACCAAAATCCTTTCTGAAAAAAACATGTGATGCATTGTCATTTAGTTAGTTTTGAGAAGTGGGTTGGGCCAAAAACTTTCAGCTCACTCTCATATACACATGCTGATAGATACTCAGTTAATTTTTATATAAAGATTAATGGTATTTCTCATTATGTATCACCACAACATTGTTATTATTGTTATTTTTATATGTTATAGAATGTTAATGTAAATTTGTCTCTATTTAAAGGTACCATGACAGATGACCATGCTTTGTATTATGGTTTCTCTCGTTTTGCTATTGAACTTAATGAATTAAATGAAGAAGAAGCTCGTTTCCTGCCACAGACTGACAGCAGATTCCGACCTGATCAGAGGTTTATCATCTTTTTCTTTTATCCTATCCTCTATTTAGGTTTAAGACAAGCAAAAGACAAGCAAGAAAAATGTAGGAGAAAATGTATTTCCATGCTATATACTTACAATTAGTATTATTAATGAATAAACTATGAAATAGCTAAATTATCTCAGAAGAATTCTATGCAAATTTAAAGAAAAATAAAACCTGTCCTCATAGTGCAATAATTTAACTAATTTAAGTAGTAATTATTTGCAAAAAGGATTATGATTCATCAAATGTGGTGGTGTCATGGATAGCAGCCCAGGAGAAATTAGAGCTGAGTTCAAATTTCAGTCAAGTTTGTTGCATTCACTTATGTGCAAATACCCTTGAGAAAGGTATGAATCCATCTCCTCCCTCAACTATAGGTTAAATAGTACCACTTGCATCTAGAAAAATCGTTGATACTCTCGCAAAAAATACAATATTTACTCACAAAAAAAATTATTCCTTACAATCAAAAATATGTCTCACCTTTAAATAGCCCACAAGAGGTTGATAAACTATAAAAAAAAATTGGTCATCAAGCAATTACAACCACTTTAATAAATGCATAAAAAATTATCTCTACATAATAATTTTTTTTAAATACTTTTGTTTCAGGCTACTAGAAGAAGGTAAACTACAAGAATCTGAGCAAGAGAAAATTAGGATTGAACAATTGCAGCGAGACAAGAAGAGACAAAGAGAGGATATGAAAATTAGTTATATGCCACAGTGGTTTAGGTAAGTTTTGTTTACTATTTAATCATCTTAAAAATGTACTTTCTCTTTCATTTTAAATAAAAAAACAATATTTCATTACAATTAAAAATAGGCTTGCATTTTATGACAATTAGCATTTAAGTGTAAATGTTACCCAAATATATCTGATTATCTAGAAAAGATTTGGATGCTTTCAGATGAGTTACTGCTTTTATATTTATCTTTCACCATCTCAGTAAAAATACCTGTCATACTTCTGTGATTCAAAAAATATTTTGTGAGTTAATATTTTTGTCAATAACAAAACAAAAAATATGTAACTAATCAAAACATTTAAGTAAATAAGAAAGAATACTACATAAATAAGAAGCTTGATGCTTTTGATTAAAAATATTTCGACAAAAATAGGAACATTTTTTAAATTTACTAAGAAAAGTTTAGTCATAATATATAAGGCTGGCATAACTGATAAAATTTAAGCTATGAACAAGATCTATAATCTTTACTTGTAGAAATTTAAGAGATTCAAATTTGTAAGAAAGTTATGTATCAATTCTATTTCATACATATATCTAACTACCCAGTCATCATCTGATAATGGCTTTGTTGGAAACCTATTATTAATGTTGTAGTAATGTGTGTGCATGTTTTATATATCAACTTTTAATTGAAGCCTTTCATTTAGTGTGTGTGTGTGTGTGTGTGTATAATAATAATCCATTGGTATATAATCCAAGTGAATCCTATTAATATAATAACAATATTAAAACTGATAGCTCAATGTTTTATTCAAACAGAGCATATAAATTACATCAAGATTATGATCTTTTCACCCCATGAATTAAAATTAATCTGAGGGATTTTCAAACCCATCATGTTAATAAGAAAAAAATAAAATGAATTCAATCAAAGAAAAAAAAATCCAGTCTTAAAAAATAACATGAAATCAATCTTAACACTTAATAATTCCACCTGGATTAAGTGCGGGAATGATGTTTTTGATGTTCCAATGGGAGAGTATGATTCGGCTTGTATATCTATACATTCTTGAGATTCTTAGTAGAATTGTGGATCCCAAGCAAGTAGGTTTATATAGAGACGATGGACTGATTTGTGTTCCTAATAGCAATGGTTCACTTACTGTGAAAACTACAGGAAAAATTATTACAGCTTTTAAGTTACTGGGTTTCAAGATTACTTCTAACCTCAAAATTGTTGATTACCTAGATATCACCCTTAACCTGAACACTGATACCTTTAAACCTTACTATAAGGAACTTGAAATTCTTAACTACATTAATGTTGATTCTAATTACCTGATGCTATTTTGAAGCAGATACTAAACACTGTAGGTACTTAAATTAGTAAAATTCATTTAATAAATATATCTTTAATAAAAACAAAGAAGTGTATAAGGTGCTCCAAAAAAGTGGCTTTAAAAATAAATTATCTTACTTGAACCTAACTAGTAATGACTTACAAGCATAGAAATAGAAAAAGAAATATATTAAGGTCCTCCCCGTTTGTGTAGGTTATCCAAAATTAACATTGGACAAGTTTTTTTTTTTTTAAAGCTTATAAATAAACATTTCCATAATAACCACCCCCAAGTAGAATCTTCAATAGGAAAACTATCAAAATAAGTTATTCCTGTACAAATAATATGTATAAAATTATAGATTCCCACAAACATATTTTAAATAAATTCTATGGTATCAACAATATGCCTAGTATGGATCCCCCATGTAATTGTACAAATAGCAAACCTTGTCCAGTCGAAGAAAAATGTAGAGCCTTGAATGTGATCTTCCAGGCAACCATTTACCCTGAATAGAACAAGATCAACCACCATATTTACATTGGGACTTCTGTAGGAAGCAAGGAAAACCCATAGGCACTTTTTTTTTTAACCTGAAATTAAAATCTAAACTGCCCTTTCCAAAAAACTTTGGGAATTAAAGGAGAAAATATGAACCCTCAGATTGACTGGAAAATCATAAGTTTCGCCTACACTCCTAGTAATTTTAAAGGTAGATGTAATCTGTGTCTACAAGAGAAAATTAGAATAATTAAATTCAATAATCAATATATACTTTTAAACCAAAGGAACAAATTAATTTCCAAATGTCACCGAAATAAATTTAAACTGATCTAGAATGTTACTGTACTTGCATGAACTGTTATCACTTTACACATACTGTTACTTCTACTCCTCGTCTTTCTTATCGCATAACCTTCCAAAATTTTTTTATTACTCACCAGTTACTAAACCTTTTTCTTCTTCACCCAATCATATGATGACTATCTCTATTATTTTTTATTATTATTATTCCTATATATTTTTTCTTACTATAATGTTTCGTTATCATTTTATTTATCATTTATTTTTTAGAGTTTTTATTTTTAATTTAAAGTTTTGACTTATCATTATTACTGTATAATTATATCTTAATTAGTGATGATATTTGCCCCCTTTTGTTGGGGGGTGGCATTTTTGTTTTGTTTTGTTTTTTATCTATATTTTTTCCTTTTTGTTTCTATTCTTATTCCTATTTGTTAAAAGTTTTTAAATGTTTCTTCATATGGGACTATTCTTTATGGGTTTATTCTTTAAGATATATATATTTGTATTTAACTATTATATCTCTTTCATATGTAATATTTAATAATATAACAATTTGTATAATATAATAATATTGTGTTATAATAATATACTAAAAATATTATGTCATTAGTTATAGTTAGGTATTAATACTTAGTACTTTTAATAAATATAATTATTATTTAATATAATAGTTTTAATTGAATGATATTATTTTTGATGTGTTGATATTTGGTGTAATGATGTATCAATAATTCATGATAATATTATTTAATATATAAAATATTTAATATTTTATGTAGTATTATTTTGGAGTCTGTCTATATTTCTGAGATGAGGTATTATGTACATTATTTACATGAAGAAGGCCGGAGTGTACAACGGCCGAAACGGTGTGATAAATATGGTGACAAAGATGAGGACAATAGTCCGAATAATGTAAATAATGTAGTATTATTTTATATAACAATATTTAATAATTTTAATTATTTTTTATTTAATATAATAATATTTAATAATATTGATGTTATTTAATAATATATTAATATTGTTATTTTATAATAATATTTCATGATTTAATAATTATATATAATATTTATATTTAATTGTTATATCTTTTTTCTTTATATTTCATCCCCTATTTAATTATCAATTAGTACTTATTTTTTTTAATTATAATTTATATTTTTCTTTTAATATTTAACCTGACTATAATATTTTTAATTTATTTATACACACTAATTTATACACATAAATTTAAGTGTAAACTTTTCATTTATTCTTCCTCTATTAGTGATTTGTTTTTTAAATTTAAAATCTTCTCTATTTTTCATTTCCTTGTAGATAGTAATAGTTTAATATGTTAATATGTTCTTTTTAATTTAAAATGAGAATTTAAATGATGCATTTCCTCAATAGAAAATAATTAAATCAATATATTTTTTAATATATTAATAATTCCTGTTTTTTCTCTTAAATTATATTATTATATTCCTTAATATTGGATTAATAGTAATTTTTTTATTAAAAAATATTCTTCCCTAATTTTCCACTTCAATTTAACTGAGATGAATATTCTATATAAATCAGGTCAGTCTGCATTATGTATTTCTTCTTACCATTCCCTATGTCTAGACATTACTACCCTCTCTATACCTTTTCTTTCCGCTTCTCTTACACTTCCTATCTTGTCCTTTCACTAATTCTTTTACTCTTTCTTTCTTTTCTTCCGTTTTTATTTTTTTTCTTTCTTTTTTTGCCTTTGGCTGTTTTTTAAATTTGTTTTTAAGCCAGTTTCAGTTTATTAACATGATGGGTTTGAAAATTCCCCAAATTAATTTTAATTTGTGAGGTGAAATGATCATGATGCAATCTCTTACCCATCCACTCTCTTCACTATTAACCAATGTGGTATACCAAAGACAAAATTATTTTTGTCAAAATGTCTGGTGATTCATATATATTTTAAACAAAAAATTGTTATTGCTAATAGGTTAATAAAATTCAAACATTTAAAAACAATTTGACATTTATATTTTATTATAGATACCTCATGAAACCTAAGATTTAAAATTAATTTTTATAAAGGCTTTCATTTTAGCTTGAATTGAAAGCTATAGGATTAAATTTACTATTTCCATATTTTAGTGTATTTCAAACATGAAATTATATTGATTGGAATCAATTTTTTTTTTAATAGCTGATTAACACCCATTTTAGTTGCTTTCATCGCAACGTAATTCTCTTTATTAAAAAATCTTCCAAAAATAAAATATACTTTTCTGAAATTTTATTTGAGGAATATTAGCTGATTTAAAGTATAATTAATCTGATTTGAAACAAATATTATTTACTTTAAGTTTAAAATAACAGAGAAATATATTTTTAAAACAAACAGTAGCTGTGTTTTTAACTGACATGTTTTACATGATTGATGTAGGAAAATATTCTCCATAATCTAATTTTAGGAATGTTGACTTTAAATTTGCTATAGTCATCTCTCTCTTATTTTCTGATAATGTCATGTATGGTTGACAGTACTTTCAAAATTGGGCATGTTACATAATATTTTATATGCATAAAAAAATTTTAAATTATTTTAAAAATCTTGGTGCCAAATGATTTGCATTAAGCTTTCCAACTTTTGATTAGTAAATATAGTTTTCACTTAATAATATAACCGAACAAGATTAAACAATGTAGAATTTTTAAAAATTATAATAAATCATAATTCAAATTTAAAAAAAAAAAATGTAAACAATTCTTGTTAAAAATTCATTATTCATTGAAAAAAATTTTTTGTAAGATAATAGTGTCCTTAATAAATCTTATTTATAAAAGCAATTAAAAGCTTTCCTAATAAAATAATCATGTCAGTTTTATTGCATTTTTTATTTTACAATTCAGAGCAAATTTACAGGAAATGAGTATCAACTTGAAAAAAAAATTGTTTTTTACATTCTCCAAGGATTCTGTTTTTATCTAATAAAACAAATTTTAGGATTAAAATTTAATTTCTTGAAATTTCATGAAATTAATTCAGTGGTGGGTAACATGTAAGAAAAAAATATTTTTTACCAAGATGTTTTAAAACAAAAAATTTCAAAATAATTTCATTTGACAATAAGTCCTGAAAGTTTCATTAAAATCTGACAATTGATATTTGCAAGAATTTCTAAATTAATGTGTTTTTCACTGGAAAAAAAGGTGCTAAAACACTAATCATAAATATTATGTGGACCACTAATGCACCCCCGCCCCCCAAAAAATAAGATTTTTGTTGTGGTGCCAAGATATACAACAATATACAAAAATAAATACACAAAGAGAGGAATTTAGTTAATAAATATATTAACAAAAAAGTAGTAACTGTATTACTACTTTTTTACTCTCGTATACAAAACAAGCAAGAATGTTAAGTCCAACTGTCAGAGCTAACTGCTGGAAAAACTCTCTGCACTTCTGACAAAAACAATATCTGCTTTTATTTGTAACTTGGAAGAGTCCATCTGTGTATGGGTAATTTACCATAACAATTTTTAACCAAAATTTCAAATGTGTTAAAAAGGATTAAAAAATTTAATAAAATAGAAAATACTTTGATCTTTCCTCTTAATAATAACAAACATTTTCATGATAAAACTTTGATTTTATCATCATGCTATGCTTCTTTTTTTCTTTTTCAGCAAAAAAGTGGAGGTACCTATTTTATTACTATTTAATATTTGTATAAATTTATTGAATTATTTTTTCTTGGCTTGGTTAAAATGAAAATTTTAACTTTATACTAGTGATTTGTTTATATTCTTTCAGAAAAGTGGAAGTAAATGGCAGAGAATTTTATGAATTCACAAGAGAATATTGGGAAAAGAAAAAGGATCCTGGCTTTTCTCGAATGTCCCTTCCTAAATTATGGTGAAGTAAAAAGATAGGACTTTATGTAAAAGGCTGTGAGATGATGAAAATAACTGGAAAAATAATGGAGAAAACTAAAAGGATCAGAACAAGACTTCACATTGTGGTTTTGTGATAGTAAATGTCACTGTGGTACTCTCTTCCTTCTCCTCTTTCTCGTTGAGTACTTCAATATCAGCCTGCCAATTCTAAATATTGTACATTTCATAATAGCAGTCTTTCATATACAGATCAATTCCTATCTGGCTCCATGTACCTACTTCCTAGACTATATACAGACTCTTACAATAAACCATCAAGTCTAGGATGGAGCTTTAATTGGATGGTTGGACTGATATTCAACTCAGATTTTTTAAATAATTTTGTATGTAATCCTAGGCAAAAGCTCATCCTTACTGTGGAGTAAAAATGATAGCTGTCTGAGATAGGGAAATGATAAACTACAAAGAAGTTCCCCTTTCTAAAAAGTTTAAAAAAAAAAAAAAAAAATGTTGGTTTTTGATATTGTGCTGAGTGCAAGACTAGACCAGTCTATAAAAGTTTGGTGTGTACCAGATTTGGTGTTTAAAGCTTCATTTCACTAGCTCTTTTATAGTTTGGTTTAGAGCCTGGAAAAATAAGGCCAGATATATTTGTGTGTGGAAAATGTCCACAAACATTTGGTCACAGTGCCTCATACACACAACATTTAGACTACAAATTTCCTTAGAGATATATTCTATTAGCTGCCCTATATTGGCTATGTAGTATTGGTAGGGGATACAAGGTATCTTGTTTTATTTTTTGAAAAACAAAAAAAAAAAAAAAAATTACATTTTGTGTAATTTGATCTACAGTAGAATGAAGGCAGACATATCTAACATCACATGATAGTCAATTATTAATAATCAAAAAGTTATTTTCTTATTCCCTTCTTCAAGTTTCTTTATTCAAGTCTCTCATTTTTGGCATCTTTTAAATTTTCCCTTTAATTTTGTACTTTATTTTTTTTTTGCATAATGTTAAAATGTAATATCCTTAGAATTTTAATAGAGTTAAGTTGGTCTTACTCCAACTGGTTCATCAGAATGAGCTTAAAAATCAATTTTTAATAGACATTTCTTTACCTGCTGATTTTTATTAACATTCACGGAAGCATTTGGAGTCAATTTTTTTTAATTATAAATATGGCTATATATTTCATTACATTTCACTTGAAAGAACGAACCAGTTAATATTTGTAGTACAATTAAATACATTGCTTGAATTATATTTCCGATTTTATTTATGTGAATTTTTAGTTCTATGTAAATATGAAACATTTTTAAATGTATTTTCTTATAATACTTGAAAATACAAATTGTAATTAATTTATTGTATACTCAAAATGTTAGAATTTTAGGTTTATACATTGTTATAAGCTTTGGTTAGAAACAATTGGGTAGTAAATTTAAATTTTGAGAAAATCTTTAAAGCTTCCTTTGTTTTGATAGTTTAACTTATTTAGAGGCTTGAAACTAAATTTCACCATAGAAAAAAGTAAGATCATAATTTGCTTTTTCTTTTAAAACAGCCTTTTAAGTTATTTGATCCTATTATTGAAAAAGTATTAAATTTGTATATTGGCATTTTGCAAGTATCGTGAACCTTTATAAATTTTTATAATTATTCATTGTAGATTTTTAAAATATTAGATATCTGACTAGATATTTAAAATATTAGCAGCCTTTAGTAAAAATCTTCTTTTTATTTTACTTTAACGTTCAATTAGTATATTTATAGAATTGCATTTTAAAATTGTCTCACAGCAGTATTTCTTGAATGTGAACATTGACTTTTCTATAAAAATGCATAGTGTGTAGAAAATGTTATGTAGAATTAGCCAACATTATTCCTTCTCAAAAATTCATTATACATAAGTAAAAATTTTAAAACTTATATTTCATTATTTAGGGAAAGTTACCAAATCTATTATTTCTCAAAAACAATATTAGTCGTATTTGGAAATGTTAGTAATATAAATTTATGAAATTGTAAGAAATTTCTATTTGTAATTTTTAGCTTAAGGGTTGACCAGTTCTTTCCCAGAATTTTTTAATGTATTACAAAAAAGGATCATTGGCATTTTCCAAATTGACTGCACTTTGAAATCCAGCCAAACTCATCTTGATTCACTTATTCAAGACTGAGTAATAATTGAGTATTACTTTTACTAAAGTATGTTTAAACATTTAGTATTGACTGAACATTTCTTGAACTGGAAGAAATCAACATATTGCATTGAGTAACTGTCTGGAAATATTTGTGTTACAGACTATATTTTTGGTGCTGTCTCTTCCTTTAAACATTTGATAATTTTTCTCTTTTTGAAGATATCACAGTCAAATGACATATTTGTAATATAATTCATTTTCATATTTTTTAATATTTCAAGTGTTCAATGCAAATTTTTTATAATAGCTTTATATAAAAATATATTGTTTATAGATTTCAAGCTGAATATTTATCTGTGTCATAATATAATTTATGTAGCTAAATTTATTTCATTATATTTTCTATTAGATCCCTACAGGATTATATTTAATTTTTAAACTACACATATTTTTCATTTTAAATTACAAAACTGTAATATCTCTAGAACATTTAAATTTAGTTTCTGTTCATTTTTCTTTTAATTTTAGAGAGAGAACTTGAAGGAGGGAATACTTTGCTTTTAAAGTTTTTGAAATGTGGAGAATTTAAAATAGGATTTGTTATTGCTGGATTTAAGAATGTTGCAGCTTATTTCTTTTATTCAGTTCCCCTGTAACATTCTCATATAAACATGAAATTAAATGCAACTAAAATTTAAGGTAAAAAAATTATAAGATTAACATACTCATCATTTCATCTAGTCAACTATTATGATCAGATTTATCCACAAAAACTAGACTTTCAGTAACCATGTTTCATAATTTTTCATTTAACCTCTAATTGTGCAGGATATTTTATATTTAATCTATGCAACACTTAATAAAATTATGGAAATCTACTGTTAAGCTTTCTTGGATTTTGCAATTTTTAATTTGCTATATCCAGGTTTTTGTTACATACCCCAATTTTGAAATTTACCCCAATTTTTGAATTTTTATTTTAATTGGTTTCTGCAACTTCAAAGTTTTCACTTTAAAAGCAAGATAAAAAAGAAAAATTTTAAATTTCTTTCCTTCAAATGTTACCTAATTCAAAAAATTATTTTACAAAAATCCCATTTTTAGACAAAATTGGTTTTATTTTATTTGTTTTCCCTTTGTATCCCCTACTGAGGTAAAAACTAAGGTGTGAGATGTCTAATGACAGGATTGCTAGATACAAAAGCTACCCTAGTTTCAATGCTACCCTAGTTGCTTATTGTCCTACTATTTTTTTTTTTTTTTGCAATTAAAGTATCTATTTTAGATTATAACTCCAAGAACTGGACAGAAAGCAACACTGTCAAATATAATAAAAAAAATTCCCACTAAAAATAGGAATGAAATGCTCTTCCATTTTTTGCAGTAGATTCCTATACAAATGACTGAAAAACAATAAGCATTACATTTGTATAATACATGCACCTTTCTTCTCAACTTTCAAACATATAAAAAAAAAAAAAAAAAAACTCTTTCAAATTTCATTTCACACTTAATTAAATTTTCTTTATATTTAAATGATTGATTTTTATATTTATTGGTTAGATTCTGTGTGGAAGTGTTTATCAATGATTGCTTTGTTGGTTTTAATTAGACCTAAATGTGAAGATCTCAAAAGTTAATATCAGCAGCTTGCATCTCTTTGATGAAAACCTTGAACAACCATTTAACATAATTTTATTAATCTGTGACTGAAAATGTTGAAGTTTACTTATTTTATTTAATTTTTATATTTATTTTAGGACATCTATTATTTTTTCAATTGAAAACATTTAACATTGTAAATGTTTATGAACACATTCAAGCAGACTAAGATAGTGACAATTATTTTATTTCTATTATTTTTGTTTTCTTATAACTGATGACAATTAGTCTTTGTTATATCTTTCTCTAAAAGGGCTTTTAAATGTGCCCATGAGTTTTCTATCTTCAAAAATGCAAATACACTCTTTTGCACCTTTGATAAAGCAATATTTATAGCCATTTTCGAAGAGCACCAACATGCAGGCACATTGACATATGTGCACACGCACTCCATTTAGTCAACGACAAAATGTTTATTATTTGGGGAAGGGATCACTGGTATTATTTTGTGCTTTTTCGTAAAACATACATTTATAAAAATGGGGGAAATTAAGAGAATTATTAATGGAAACCTCAAAACTGTAAACGGGAATAATTTTGTAAATGATTCATTTTAGGATGGGTTTTCTCAAACTAAAATTTAGGATCTGTTCTGGTGGTAATATAATGTTAACAACGTAAGGAAATAGGAATGAATCTAAAATATTTCATATTAAACCAGTGGAAACATTTAAATTGGATATTCTACCATAACACTCACTATTGTATCCTAAGCTGTTTATAATTGGTTCTATGAAAATATTTTTCTTAAATTGTTCTCAATATTTCCAATGTTTATTGACTGTGATTTACATTTAATGATCAAGTCTAAAACAAATGCTATTTTTGAAATATGGATTGTGAGCATTGTGGGAGAGGGTGGTTAATACAATTAGATTTACCGTTATCTCATCATATAGCATCAAGCAAATAATTCAATGTTTTACTTTATGTATAAAAGTGGATTATGTAAGTAGCCAAGGAAAGTGTTTATTAACACATTAAACTATATCATAACATGACTGAAATGAAAACAAGAAATGTTCGCATAACGTTTTTCTTTCAACTTTCCATATACATCATAGATACACAACTCAATTGTGTATTGAGTTTTTAGATTTATAATAGAACATTTTGTGTTTGAAAACCAATGACTTTGTATTTAAAAATTACTATGTATGGGAATTATTTTAACTGCATTTGAGTAAATTTATCTCTTCATAATCAAATA